GTTGGACTGGTACTCTGAACTCAAAAGCTTAACTGATGTAGTCTAATATGGACACGTCGTAGCTAACGGAAATGCAATCCCATTGTACAAATAATGAGCACCGTTTATAGCTTGCAAGCATAAATGAATTTTTGCGCGCTTTGTCGTATTAAATGGCGTGGTGGACTGATTCACGGATTCACGGACTGATACACAGGGTCGTAGATATTGCCTATGATTCCCGGGTCGGTTTTCTTCTTGTCGCTCAGTGGCTGCCGTTCACCCGAAAGGCACAAGTGAAAAAAGGGTGTAGCGCTGCTCTTTATGTTCCCAGCGCGGGGTAGTATGCTCGCCAGCGTGAGGATTCGCATAAATAAATGTCTAATAGTGCTCTAAACTGGGTTCTAGAAGGAGCGTGGACAACCATCGTTGTCCAATGAATGTGTGTGCTCTGAGCTTGAAAACCTTCTCACTATGTCCCTGCCGTGTGTTTGCTGGGTCAAAGGTGAAAAACCTATTTGCCAGGCTTTGTTCAGATAGGGCATAAGTAAGAATTAGGTAACCTCGGAGGCGACGGTGCTCCAGGGGAAAGATATCAAGCGTTGCGAGAGGCGTTCCGTAGTCCACGGATTTGAGGCAGCCACTCTCGTGGCAGCTCGCTGGACAAGCTCGATAAGGGTGACGCCTATCGTCCGTCCTGAGTGGAAAACTTGGTTGGCGAATTCCAGGAGCGGTCTGATGTAGGCCCCATAGAGTATTTGGAAGTCCATGCGGGTGATACGGGAGAAGGTGCGTCGGATCATTCGTAAAATGGCGAAAGCCTTTTGGGCCGATTTCTCATGGGTTAGTGAGAAGAACAAATTTGAGGCGACCCAGATGACCAAATCCTTTTTGTCATCTATCCTCATGACGTTTTCTGGTTCTTTCTCACCATGCATAACAAAGGCCTTTGCTGAGTCTCCTCCAAACGACATATGGACGCACTTTTCGTCATTCAGAGGAAGGTGCTCCTTGGCAGCGTCTACATCCATTTGGAGGGTACTGGCATTGGTACTCCATGATTTCAAGTCGTCCGCAAAAAGTAGAGGTGGGCCGATTACAACGAAAATCGAGAAAAAGGTGATACAATTTCGTCTGTAGGGTTACCACTGTAATTTGCATAACGCCCAGCTAGGGTGCCCGTGACGAGACTGAAAATCCCCGCTCTTACAAGCTCACTTCCTGGCCAATCAGCGCATACCTTCGTTTGGTCCGCAGCAGGTCGCTGACCATGTGTCGATTTAACGAAATATCATTCTATTGGAGACGGCTGGTCACCCGATCCTAGGAGATTTCGTACACACTGATTTTGGAACCCCAAAGAACGGTGTGAAAAAGGTTGTCGGTCCTCATCTCTTGGCGTGTAGTCGTGCAAGTATCAGACCACATCGGTTTACCTTTGTTCTAGGGTTCCCCGGGGATGCTCTTGGACTGGCCTCCGTCGAAATGGTGGATGGACTGAATCTCTGTCTCATAGTTACCTATGGGCTTTGCGTGCCCTCACCTGCTTAACTGATAAGCTTATATATCAAAGCCCCCTTTGGCCGACCACTTTCGACGTGGCTGTGTTCTTTCGACGATTAATGTGACAGCACAACGCAGGAAGGATAATAACCCGTTTTCTATTACTGAAAATTCCCAGATAACTTCACCGTTGTTTCACTGGATGCCAGGGATCCCGAGCGTCTTGACTGCGTTGTTTTCACAGTTCAGTGCCCATACTGCAACGTACCCGATAACTGCTCCTTCGTCGTGATTCACTTACCCTATCTTACTTAATATTCCACAAGCTGAGGTCAAACGAGAACTAATGGGGCTGAATATTGACCTGAATTTTGACGCGAAGCGCCCCGCAACTTCGAGCGGCGTTACCGTTGACAGTCTGTTCAAGAGCACTTCGTGGGTACAAGGTGCCCGCTGTAGAACGGGATGACTTTAGTTAGCCTCCCGCTCCTTCTCCCCTTTGAAGACAAGAACGATGCTCATATAGATAAGGTTTTCGTCAGCATTTATGTGAACATCAGGTTTGAAATCCACCCAACGTTCGTCCCACCATCTTGCCGATCACAAAATTAAATGAGTGGAGATATTTGTTATCCCTGCCGGACACTTCCCGTACAGAGGCCTTTGGGGAGTGCCCCATATACTCTCACAATCCCGGAAGTGTAGTAAACAGACGCGTTAAAAACGGACCGATTACGTAAGATAAACCTGTCTACGAAATACAGGGATATTGAAGGTATGGGTCGGTTAAGGCGGTGCTCTAGAACCTACGGGGCGTAACGGTTTGGCCAGAACAACGACTATCAGACCGGTATCCTTCTTGGCACCATACGTGAACAATGTGGGTGGAAGTTCATCCGGACGAAGAGTTCCAGACCGCAATCCTACTTGGCACCATCCGTGGACAAGGTGGGTGGAAGTTCATCCGGACGAAGAGTTTGGTAATAGTTGGGAGAACACATGCAGTCATAAACCTTCGAGACTTAGGTGTTTCTAGATTCACCCTCCGGGGTTACCGCTACAGTTTCCCTGGCTTCAGTCAGATCTTGGCTAGGTCTAGGTCTGCGAGTGACCTCGGATAGAGAGTATCAAAAGCTGTGAGCATAGCTTCTATGACCTGCAGTCGTCATACAAATCAACATAGTGTCTGTTTAGCTCTGGAAGCTTCTCAGCCGAAAGGACCCGATATTGTGGAGCTACAGAAATGCTTTGCAAGTGATGGACTGAATGTCTTTGGATCACCCGACGTGATCCAAAGCGAAAGCGAATAGACACGCATACCCGCAACATACCGTAATCTGAGTTTGGTAGTGTACTCCAAAATCAACGACATTCACCACCAGCAACTGAATGTCATATGGTTCAACTAAGTCAACGGCTGGTTTGTCGTTGGTGGCGCAACTTATAGCAGCGGAGCATCAAGGTTGAATGTTTTACTGTCGAGGATAATGATGATGGGTTGCGCAACAGAGTCTTCAGTCGAAGAATGTGTGCAGCACAAAACTGGGGTGGTATGGTCATGTAATGTGCGTGACGGATCAGCGTTTTCCAAAGAGTGTTGTTCTCCACCCCCTCTTAAGAGTTTTACAAGCCGAGATGCAGTCATCTCCTTACCTAGTTAGCACGCGGATTAACTGACCGGAAGGTCCGTAGTTCGAATTTTACCTCTGCATCTCGACTTCCCTTGTCTATGCTCAGCCAACCTGACAGTAGCTGAACCCTCGTGCTTCCTTTGGGTCGCGTGGCGACTAGGCACCGAAAGGGTTTGGAGTTTGGGTACTGTCGGTGCGACTCGCCTTTCGGGATGGTGTCTGCATGCCCCCCTTGTGCATTTTTGGAGACGCTGCGATAAATATCTGCTAATCGATGTCAGTGGACCGAAAAACAGATGTTAGTCACTTATGTTGTACTATCGATGACGTGACGCCCATGTTGATGTAGCTTGAATGGCGGTGGATTTCAACTTCACAGGGTTTTTATGATCCTATAATGTTTGATCCCTGGCGCGGTTGCTCGGATAGTAATCAACGGTGTGAACAGTTGGGTGGTTCGCACCGAGTTTTGCCTGGCTTAGCATCTGTGACAAAACCCTCGTAGGAATCCTACTACTATTAAAAAACAGATACTCTCCACGACCCTGTCGATTTTCAGGTAACGGAGTTGAAATGCTTATTGTAAAGACTTTGAGGTTAAACTAGTTGTTCTTGTTAAACGATCCACTCCGCTTTTCGTTTTTCTTGTTCTGTCGATTGCCTGATTTACAGGTTCAGCCTTCACTTTCTCAGATCAAGCACCATCCATTTGGATCCCCGTGCGCTACGCAAATAAATATATCGCGCAGACTACTTTCGGCGATCTTTTGACGTTGCAATGTAAACCTCACCTAAATACAAAGCAATGGAATCCTCATATAATTATCTGACGAGTTCTAGTTGGACCGAAACGTCTAGGAAATTACCTTGTCTGCTGGAAGCCCATGGTATCAGAGTCATGTCATGAAGTTCTTGGATAATATTGAATGTCCAACAGATAACCACAGAGTATTAGCAAATCTTTGTTCTCTGGCAGGTGTGCGGACTATGCAGCTGCTTATCACCCACTAGCTGAATTTTGGAGCCTAGTTTGGAAAAGTATACTACTAACGCAGGGTGTCGCTCCTCTAAAACCCCTTGGTCTGACGAACTGCATGGCACGAATAATTATTTCTTGGGTATTTGTTCATGGCAAGTTCCCAGTGTTAGCCCGTTGCTTGAGGGCAAAACGCTATTATTTGTGCGTAACTGCCTGAAGTGCAGTCAAAAGCGAAACGTTGCCCAGCAATAAATCTACCGATTGTCACCAAACGTTTTCGAAAAGAATCTTATATAGTTTTAATCATCTATCTCACCGAGCTTGTTTGTTTTTCTCAGTTCTGGTTTGGGACCACGGATTGGCTGTCCCTAGATAGTTAGCTGACAGATCCTCAGCCACATTACTGCTCTTGACGCCCATTTAAGTCCTGATTTTGTGGGAACACCTGACCCGAATGGAGGGTGACGTCAACTTCCTCAGTAGCGACTACCCTTTTCTTAGGCTTATTTTCAAGAATACGGAAGGTGGCGTTATCCGTTTTCTAGGCCATCCATCTGCAACCATACCGAGCACAAATATGCTTTCTCGAGAAGCCACTCACTTGCGTCCGTCATCCCATTTCTTATTCCTTTATGTTTGCGAATTCCACTTTCGAATTCTCTGATCCCATCTAAGCTGTTCACTTGGTCAGTCATTTTGGGGGGCCACCTGTGTAAACTTCCATCTATTACCAGAAAAACTGTCGTTTACCGTTCTTCCGCGAACTGATTTTCGCGATTTTCTGTCATTAGCCTTTATGAATGGTTTGCAATTCCTTTCCTTGGGATAGTGTGTTTCCACGTATCATGGCGGACTAGTTTCGAAGCATTGCCCAGCACTGCTACATTCCACAGATGTCTCCTTAAGGAATGCAGAAGTACAATGAGCCAACCATTCTGTTATCGGATCTCAACGACTACATAACCTGCAGATTATGCAAAGGATACCTGATCGATGCAGTCTCCATTACAGAGTGTTTACACCCTTGTAAGTTTTCCGCCTTACCCCCCTGTCATGTATTATAGTTTGTAAGTCCTGCATCGTGAAATACCTTGAAGAAAGATATGATTGTCCATCTTGCGGCATACTCATTCATCAAAGTCACCCCTTGAATTACATAAGCTACGACCGAACACTGCAGGACATTGTATATAAAGTTGTACCGGATTTGAAGAGGCGTAAGTTTAATGGTTTTGGCTTATTACGAACAACCACAGGAGAAAGACAACGGAGACAAGATTTCTATTGTTCGATGGGTAAGAGCCCACCGCCTTCAGAAGGTAGGCTGTGTTTAAGTTTGCTTTTATTGTCCAAGAATGTCAGCACCTTTGTGGTCCTATTCAGTGTACCCTATTCTCCAATAGCACGCTGATTCAGGTTCAGAATGTTGATTCTGATAGTTTGAAGTATGTGAGGAGGGCTTGAAAGATAGCCAACTATCATATCACACGACGGGGATTTGAATAGTCACATCATTACGATCTTGTTGTGCACGCCACGTTAGTACGTGACTATGTCATGCTAACTTCTTGTAGTATTCTATTTTCGGATTGGCAAAGTCGATATCACTACACACTGAAGGCGATGGCCACCATCCTTGGATTACGGATATCTTCTTATAGGTTTGGGAATCTGGAGGTCGCGCATCCAGTAGCTCAGATACATAAGCATCATTTGTTGCGCGGACAGTTTTACCAGTGTCAATAATCATTATGTTCCGTCTCAGGCTTCCCATATGATGATAAGTGATATTCCGCTAGTCTGGTGCTTGTGGATTCTATGTTTCTTAGTCTGATCCCAAATCTAGTCTCTCCGCAGAGTGTTTGCACCCACAACATGTTTGAACGAAAAGTTTCCAATCTGTCAGTTGGCATGACTAAATCAGCTCGGTCAATGGGGTGTCAGTAGCTCGCCCAAAGAGTGTTAGTTGTTTCCTCCGAAAACTATCCAGGACAGCTTAGCACCGCTTATCCGATTTTCTCTCCAGTCTCGAGGTGTTTTGAGGACCAAACTTCGGCTTCGTAGGAAATAGTTGCCACACTACTACACTTTGTGTAGTACCCTTGTCAGATAAGCTAGATGCCCCACGGGTGCCTCTGACGTCGCATTTTACCCGAACTCATCACGTCTTTCATTTGATTGGTAGTTTTTACCTTCTAGAGACCGCTCCCAGTGCACAAGTAAATGTATTTTTCTATGTATCGGTTCTGTATTTGGCATATACAGTCATTGTTTACGTTCAATCAGTTAGGTAATGTAAGTTATCAAGTGATATCCGATTGGTTTGGTTGGGGATGAACTGCCACTCCAGAGAGCTGTGAAGAAAAACGGATTTCTAAGAGTACACAAACTTTGGTTGACTGAACACAGGGAGAGGCAGATTCGTGAAAACCAAGCTGGGTTCCGTCCTGCAAGAGGTTGCATCGATCATATCTTCATCCTCCGACAGATTCTGGAACAGCGACACTGCTTCCAGCAACCAACACTGGTTGTTTTTCTTGATCTGAAAGCTTCCTTTGACCCTGGAGCAAAGGTGTCCCCCATAAATTCTTGAACCTCATTAAGGAACCACTCCCGCGGCCGTGTAAAGGTCTACGGGAAGCTTTCTCCTGAGTTCACCACATCAAGTGGTGTCCGACAGGGCTGTCCTCTTTCACCTTTCCTCTTCAATTTCGTCATCGATACGATCATGGAAGACTCACTACCAGCCTCTAATGCCTGTGCGGTCGAAGTGCTCCCTGGGCCTCCGCTCACAGACATCGAGTACACAGACGACAAAGCTCTTCTAGGATCTGAC